ACTGTGAAACATACAGGAACTTCTGATTGAGGCTCAGAGTGGGTGGTTCAAATGTGGGATTACCATGGATTATTGCTCACTAATTCAAGATTACAAAATAGAGCCTGAGTCTCATTTAAGGTGTTAATCCACATCAGGCATAATGGAACATGGTTCCTGTTGTATTTTCAGTTTTCAATGTCTTTGAGATTTAAAAGACTTCGGATGCTGATAGATTTTCACTTCGGTAAGATCTGAAGCAAGGCTTTACGTGGACTCCGCAGCATCAGATAGAGCAGAAAACTCCTCCTCTTGTAATTGACAAAGACATTTTCCTCGCTTTTGCATCTCCGCACTTCAGGAATCTTGGGGATCACGCTTTTGCCTATGCTGCTCCTGCCTTATGGCACTGGTTTCCGTATTTGTACGTTACCAATCAGATCCTTTAGCGGCCTAGCTACTTTTTATAAAGAACTCAAAACTGTTCTTTTTAGGAAAGCGTTCAGTACCTGTTCGGAAGCGAAACGGAGAATCCAAACAGACATTTTACTTCCAACACGGAAAACTGTAGACTCACGATAAACGACAATGACCGTTAAACAAACCGCCACACGATTAAACTAAAAAACTTTCAACTCATTTCTAAGAAAATCGCACACGTCGAAAATAAAAAAGGCCGCGTGATTTGCTTACGATATTATTAACCTAAGTAATCCCAAAGCACGCGCATGCGAGTCTCGCGCGCACAAGTTCGTTAACGTCTTGCTAACATTTCCCCTTCCCACACTGGGAGGTAGTCCTAGTGTTTCCAGCTAAGCAATGAACAGTTAATTCCAGGCGGAACCAGTTTGTTAATCGGTCTCATCATAGTTAATCGAGGGGACTGGTTAGGAAGGCCGGCGAACTTCAAAGGGGTAGGTTATTGTTCAACTTTTTGGTGCGTGACGTCACGACTACCGTGCATCACAATACAATGCAGCGTTGTTCGAAAATGGTTCATAGAGAAATGTTTTGACTTTAAATTATTTTTATTACTGTTTGCTTGACTGAAAATGCATAGATTTTAACTCAAAAACATGCCTGGAGATAACTGTTCCGTAGTTGGCTGTGGAACTTGCCGTAAAACCAAGGGAATTGGAATATGGAAGCTTCCAGCACCTCGGAACGAAGCATATCGCAAATGGCGCGAAGATTGGCTCCATGAGCTCAAGAAATACAGAGTTACGGACAGTAACTTCCAACGACAGATCGAAAATGACAAAGTATTTACTTGTGAAAAGCATTTTCATGAAAATGACATCGAAATAAGTAAGTGTGTGTGTATAATTCCAGCGATTTAGCGGTGTGCTTATTAGTAAACGGCCCGCCAAAACATGCGAAATCTACTATGTAACTCAGTTGAATTCTTGATAAAAACGTTAACATATATCTTAAACTTTATCTCTCAGCCGTATCAGAGAAAATGACAAAGAAAAGGCCGAAGTTTGGAGCACTTCCATTGCTGAGCATGCCACAGAAGAGCTTTCAAAAACAACCACCAACTCCCAGGCCTTTGAGATCAATTGTAAAGGAAGACTTCGAAGTTTCTGATATTTTGACCGAAAAGAGACATTGCTATAAAAGCTTCCATGAATTCTGTAAAAGAGCCCAGTCATTGAAGATTATACAAGAGTGGTGTACTCAGGCCAAAGAAGACAGAATGGTGTTCAGAAAGTCAAATGAGTCCTCTGTTTGCTTACCACAACTGGAGTTGGTGGTCGATGACAGTCTTGGGTTCACCATTTTAGTTTATGGTTGGTTACTACCAGATGACCACATACTTTATACGAAGTATTATAGATCAATGAGAAATGTTACCTTGAATGAATTGGTCAGAAAACTAACAGAGTCCTTCATTATTTGTCCTGGGATTGAACAACCAGAACTGAACTCAAATATTATTCACCATGTTATCCCAATGTCAGTGGATCCTTTGAACTGTAGTGATAAT